GCGCTTTCTTCTTACCAGTTGTCAGGATGTAATAATGCAAGCTAGAAAAACGTGTTCTGTGGGCCAGCAGACTTTCCAGACTGATTTGCAAGCTTTGGAGCCTTCTCTACTTGGAAAATTCTGAAAAGGGGTGCCGTAAGTCAGTATGGACTTGACGGCAGATGATGCTTTAGCCTGTGTTCTCGCACTGCTCTATGATATAGAACCATCATTGGGCTACCATCATTCCTGCTGCATTTCAATGACAACTGCAACAATACCATCAATTTCGGGGGCAGGAAGGGAAGATGCCACCCTAAACTCTTCTGGCCAGGATGCTCTCCAACCCAAGATCCTGCCTGCCCCTAAGTTGTCTCTGCAACAGGCTATAAATACACAGAACCGTTTGCAAGCCTAGCTTCATAAAGTGATCCCTGTTTTACAAGTTACCTGTAATAAAGCAGCTTAAGAGGAGGAGAAAAGACCATTGTTGCAAAAAGAGCTACAGATCTGCTCCATTCCATCCTCCCTCAGGTAACAGTAGCATATGCAACCTGCAACAAAATGTCACACGAGGGGTGTCTTCATTCCCCCACTCCTCATTTTCAATTTTACTGCCCATCCAAAAGTTCTGGAGTATCATCAGTCCCTATCAAGCTGTTCTGCAGGTTTCTCTCTGTTTAAAAAAAAAATCACGTACTTCTCTAAACTTTGTAAATTTGAATAAAACACTGTCTTGTCTGTGGGTAGTGTTATTTATGGCCACATAAGCAAGAAGAAGGAATGATTGAAACCGCACATTCTATATACAGATGCATTAAATATAACTAATGCCAAGATGCATACATCTAATATCAAGAAGCCAGAATTTAGGATGAATATCAGGAAAAACTTCTTAACTGTTAGAGCAGTACGACAATGGAACCAATGACTTCGGGGCCCAGGTGAGCACTCCCAAACCTGAAGGTCTTCAAGAGAAAACTGGACCACCTTCTGTCAGATATACTTTGATTTGGATTTCTGCATCAAGCAGAGGGTGGCCGCTCGATGCCTTAGAGGTCCCTATCAACTCAATTATTCTATGATTCTATGAATAAGCGGACTGCTTGGTTATCACAACAGCATTTTTGATACATTATTGTTGGGAAAAACAACAAAGCTTGTTTATGCATTCAATTAGCACTTGCTCTTGCCAAAAAAAGGACACCTTTTTTTTAAAGTTCAGTTTCCTGCTTTTTTTTTTTCCACCACAAGCTAGGCACGTGAGCTGTGATATATAGGTCTCCGTTAGCTTTATAGCAAATTCATCTTCTCCGACTTGCATAGATTTTCTGCCTCTGACAGAAGCCATCCTTCCATTGCTAAATATTGCCACCGACAAACGAGAGCTTTAATCTCTATTGCAGTAACACAGAGGGGAGGGGGAAATCCTATTTTGCAAAACAAAAAAAAAACAGTAGATATCTGTTATCACAACAGCATTTTTGATACATTATCGTTGGGAAACACAACAAAGCTTGTTTATGTATTCAATTAGTACTTGCTCTTGCCAAAAAAAAAGACACTTTTTTTTAAAGTTCAGTTTCCTGCTTTTTTTTTTCCACCACAAGCTAAGCACGTGAGCTGTGATATATAGGTCTCCGTTAGCTTTATAGCAAATTCATCTTCTCCGACTTGCATAGATTTTCTGCCTCTGACAGAAGCCATCCTTCCATTGCTAAATATTGCCACCGACAAACGAGAGCTTTAATCTCTATTGCAGTAACACAGAGGGGAGGGGGAAATCCTATTTTGCAAAACAAAAAAACACAGTAGATATCTGTAAGATACTGTATCTCGGGGGGGGGGGCAGGAATCAGAACCTACTTCTCCTGCACCAAAATGCCTGGATTAAAATGCTGTTATTTGACTGACTACGCCTAGGTCCTCAATGGTGTGCCCAAAATCCGGACGTGACTTATATGGATCCTATTACAAGTCCGTCCCTGTTTCATTGTCCTTTTAGATGAGGTCAGTGGTGAAAGTAAGGGGGGGGGGAGAGGAGAGGATTTCTCTTACTCCAGATATCTTGTAAAGCTCCCTAGAAGAAGAACTGGGAATATACTGCAAATGTAGAACACAAATACAAAAATGTTGGGAGGTGGGAAGAACCAACAATCAATTTCGTTAACTTCTTTAAAAGAAGGGTCACATATCGATATCTACCCCCCCATGCGCTACCACAAAACACCACGTAGAAGTTGAATACATTATCTCCCTTCTCCCAAAAAATAACTCTTTTACCTGAAACATTTAAGGAACCTTGGATAAAGGCAGCAGGGCAATATGCGACAAAGCAAACAATTAAGATTAGTGTCAGAGAATGAAGACATCCGTATGAAACCCACAGAGGATTATATAAGGTTACACGGTTATTCTCCCAGAAAATGCCAAGCAGCATCAGACACAGGCTTGGTCTAGAGGGCGTACTGTTTGCGATCTTCCGAAAAGGCCACCATCGGTGGCTAACTCAAGAACCGGAGACTGTCATAAAATCAGCTGAGACGATAACTTTAGGCAGAAAACAGAACAAAATCGAGAGGCAAGTCCCCTGTCTTAGAGAAACATTTCCCAACAGAAATCTAGTAACTATGCTAGCTGGGAGATTTAGGAATGTTTAGAGACGAGGAAATCTGCAGTTCAATATATCTGGAAGGTACCCATCAAGGGAAGCATGCTACAGACCAAAGCTGGTGGGGAGGGGGGGGACACACACCAGTTTCTTTCTATTCCTCCTGTCTAGATTACGTTAACCAGTGTAATTCATCCTTACGTTAACCGGTGTAATTCATCGTTATAAAGCATTTTGTACTCCGAAAAAACCAAAATCGCACAGCTACAAGAATACAGGTCATGTTACATTAAAATCTCACCCCTCTCCCTATACAGGTACTCAGCCATTACACAATACTATTCTAGGTACTGTATACCTCTGCAGTGTGGGGCAGAAGAAAATAATTAATTAGATATGTAGGAGTACTACATGGTTATTATTAAATTAATAATCGGACCTATAATTTAATATAACATACCCTAAAGGAAACACATGCCCTGGGCCTAGAAATTAAGTTCCTGAAGTAAAGAAGTAGAGAAACAAAGGAATACACTGGGAAGTGGGCTATTTTTTACACTGGGGGGACACACACAGGTAAGCAGAAGAGGGGCAAGTGATTTATATTAAATCACAGGGAAAATGTGTATAGGAAGAGAGAGGTGATTTTGAGGATGCAAACTTTAGAAAAGCGTGAAAAGTAGGGGGATAAAGTTTCTCAGGTGCTGGGGGACCAGCTAGTGGGATATTGAAAAAAAACACACACAAGAAACGAGGGGACAGTTTTACAGTAGGGGGGCAAACGGGGTGTCACAAGAGTTGATGGGAAAGATGGTAGAGAAAATACAAAATTGCTTCCACCGGAGAGCCAATTCTTAAGTCCAAAGGGAACAAAAAAGGCAGGCAAATAATTTTGTAGGAGAAGGTAGGTGGGAACAAACCAAACATGCAGGGAAAAAAAAGATAACTAGCTTTCCAGATTTGAGCAGGGAGTACCATTTTACAGTAAAGCTGTGCAGGGAAAAATGGGAGGGCGGCTAAGCAAGGCATTTTTAGGATGGAGGGAAAAAAGGTTCTTTAGCGAGAAGGGGCTATTCATTAATTTATTTTGTTCCCCAGGAATGGGTTGGAAGGACAAAGGGCAAAACAGGCAGAGGGGAATATCAAGGCCAGCCACCCTGAGGGGGTGCAAAGCAAGTGAAAGGAAAGAAGAAGAGGGGCCAATTCTGGAAGAAGAAGAAGAAGACGAACCCTTCGGAGTTAAGAAGAAAATTGTAGCTTGATATATTAAGTAAGAAGGTACAAGAGTATAGGATAAATTTGGGAAGGGACAGATGTTTGGTTAAAGAAAGAAGGGAAAAGAGTAACTCTGGAGCTCAGATCAGACAAGGAAGGGGGTCCGAATGATCTCCCATCAATGGGCAGGAAGACGGCAATTGGGAGGGAGGGAGGCAGTTTTGAGAAGGGGGGATGCAAATCATTTCCCAAGAATGGGTGCCTTGTGTGGATGGGGGGGTAGTTAGATCCAGATGGGGGAACATAACAGGACTGCAAAGTATTCACCCTTGAATGGAGGGGTTGCAGATTCCTACATACAGTATATTGTATACATATTTACATATTTGCATATATGAGATAGATAGATAGAGAGATAGATAGATAGATAGATAGATAGATAGATAGATAGATAGATAGATAGGGCAACTGGGGGGGTGTCCAGCAGCAAGCCTGGTTCTGGAAAAAAAAGGGGAGGGCAAGTCAATGCATGCCCCAGGAAGGGGGCACAATTAAAGGGCTTCTCCTCGTGGGGAAGCCATGCCTGCGGGGTCTCAAACGCCCCTCGGTCTTCTTTTGGGGGGGCGAGGGAAGGGAGCCTCCATCTTGGCCGCCCCTTCTTCCCCCAAAGACCAAGCGGTTAGGGGCACAAGGAGGTGAAGGGAGCAGGAAAAGAAATACCTCTTTTTTTCCTCCCCCCCAGGACAGGGAGGGACGATGGCAGGGGTTTCCCTTCCTCCCCATCCACACGACCTCAAACGCCCCTCGGTCTTCTTTTGGGGGGGCGAGGGAAGGGAGCCTCCATCTTGGCCGCCCCTTCTTCCCCCAAAGACCAAGCGGTTAGGGGCACAAGGAGGTGAAGGGAGCAGGAAAAGAAATACCTCTTTTTTTCCTCCCCCCCAGGACAGGGAGGGACGATGGCAGGGGTTTCCCTTCCTCCCCATCCACACGACCCTTTTGGGCCCCCCA